TATATATGTAACTTATCTTTATTGTTGAAAGTATTACAGATGTCCCCCTTTTCCCCCATTGACCCCCTCTATCCCCCACCAGCCACCACCCAGGCCTACCAATTAGATATTGTTTGTATCTATGAGTTATGCATATATGCATATAAATTATTTGTTTAACCTCTTCCCTCTCCCTTCCCAATAAGATTCATTAGTCTGTTCCATGCTTCCATGTCTCTGGATCTCTTTTGTTCATCAGTTTATTTTGTTCATTAGATTCCTCATATGGGTGAGATCATGTGATACTTGTCTTTCTTTGACTTATTTTGTTTAGCATTATACTCTCCAGATCCCTCCATACTGTCTCATAGGGTAAGAGATCCTTCTTTTTTATAGCTGTATAGTACTCCATGGTGGAAATGTACCACAACTTTTTTATCCACTCATCTACTGATGGCACTTGGGCTGTTTCCAGATGTTAGTTATTGTAAATTGTGCTGCTATGAACATAAAGGCCCATATATCCTTTCTGATTGGTGTTTCAGGTTTCTTAGGATATATTCCTAGAAGTGAGATCACTGTGTCAAATGTTTAATTTTTAATCTTTTGAGGAAACTCCATACTGCTTTCCATAGTTGCTGCACCAGTCTGCATTCCCACCAGCAGTGTACTAAGGTTCCCTTTTCTCCACATCCTCTCCAGCACTTGTTTGTTGATTTGTTGATGGCAGCCATTCTAGCAGATGTGAAGTGATAGCTCATTGTAATTTTAAATTTGCATCTCTCTGATGATTAGTGACTGAAAATTTTTTTATGTCTCTTAGCCATCTGTATGCCCTCTTTGGAGAAGTGCCTATTTAGGCCCTTTGCCCATTTTTTAATTGGATTGTTTGTCTTCCTGGTATTGAGGTGTATGAGTTCTTTCTATATTTTGGAAATTAACCCCTTATCAGATGTATCATTGGCAAATACGTTCTCCCATATAGTGGTATGGATCCCTTTTCATTTTGTTGATGGCTTCCTTTGCTGTGCAGAAGTTTGATGCAGTACCATTTGTTTATTTTTTCCTTTGTTGCCCTTGCCCTAGGAGATGTATCCACAAACATTTTGCTAAGAGAGATGTCTAAGATTTTGCTACTTATGTTTTTTTGTAGTATTTTTATAGTTTCACCTCTTACATTAAGTCTTTTATCCATTTTGAGTTTATTTTTGTGTATGGTGTAAGTTTTTGGTCTAGTTTCATTTTTTTGCATGTACCTGTTCAATTTTCCATTGATCTATATGTTTGTTCTTGTCCCAGTACCAGGCTGTTTTGATTACCATGGCTTTGTAGTATAATTTGATACCAGATTAGCTTTGTAATCTTCAACAAGTGTTTCCTCAGCATTGTCAGTTCTAAAGGGCTCCTCATAAAAAATTATCCCACTTATTGGTAGAACTGCTCTCATCCTAAAGATATCACCCCCTTGTTTTTACTTTCCCAATCCTAAATCTGTAAAGAAAGTGTTTAGTAAAATGAAGATTAAAACTGGTCTGTCTCACAGTCATCCATCCCCCCAAACTTGCCCCACCTCCAAAGCTCCCCAAACCACATACCTACCTCCACCCCCTCCACACACACCCTGATGTGGAAGGTGTAAAACTTGTGCCCAGAAAGATGGCGAAATGTTGCTTTATACATAGCAGGCAAAAGACAACCAATTGAATGAACTGTTTTATTAAGGTGATTGTGTCATCATTTATTTTAAAATTACATAGCATACTTCTTTGTCCATTCTTGAGCCATGAAATCATACTTTGGCCTATCATTTATGTAAATCTTCCCAATTTCTGGAATCAGAATATCGTGTGGGTTGGGATCACATAACATGTCACAGATTGACAGCAATATTTTGGAAACTGTGTGTGCAGGTGACCACTCAGAATTAAGGATGGGCAGACCAATATACCCATTATGGTTTATGTTCACATGGTAAATTGGGGTACTGAATTGGACCTGGGGTGGTTTTAAAGGGTAATCCGATGGGAAAACCATATTTAGGATGAAGACTCCTCCCTGGTAGGGGTTCTCCTTGGGCCCCAATATAACTCCCTGCCATGTGAACATATCTTCACCCACTGGCCCTGCAGAGCACAGGTCTAGGGGGTCTCGAGAAAGGTTGAGGAGCTCCTTGCAGAGGCGCTTTAAGGCCAGGGACCGCGCCATGGGGCCAATCCTCCTTGTAAGGCTTCCTGATAGGTAGAAGGTGGAGGGAGAACATGGTTAGGGGGATCAGCAACCCATCAGGACCGTGGATAAGCTGATAAAGTTTGGCTCTGGGGTGGAGGGGGTGGCGAGGGACAGGGATGGTGGTGTACAGGAAGGTTGATGAAGGAGACATAGGAACCCAGTGGGACTGGTGGGCTACAGGACATCTGTGTCCCACAAAGCCCCTTCCTCTGCCGCTGCCGCTGCCGCTGCCACCCTACTCGCCCCACTGCCACCACCTCCCAACTGTCCTGACCTGGATTCTGCTGCTCAGAGGCCACACCACCTCTAGACACCGCTGCCAGGCGACAGGACTGCTCTTGCTCAGGGCCGCCTGATCCTGCTGCTCACTGCTGCGGTACACTTTGGGTTGTTTGCCAACAGAAGGGGATCCACTTTGTAAAGTCACAGGGGTCATGTTGATGATGTAACCAAGGGAGTGTCGGGGTGCGGGGGCAGGGTCAAGAAGTAGCAAGAATGGA